GATTCCATTATGAAGTCTTTATGTTTTCCCTTTATGATACTTCTGTATCAAGTTCACTCCGAGTCATTTTTTTTTTTAAGATTTTATTTATTTTAGAGAGAGAGCGTATGCAATTGGGGGTGGGGTGGGGTCATGCAAAGGGAGAGAGAGAATCTCAAGCTGACTCTGAGCTGAGCACGGAGCCTGATGCTGGACTTGATACTAGGATCCTGAGATCATGACCTGAGCTGAAATCAAGAGTCAGATGCTCAACTGAGCCACCCAGGTGCCCCACCCTGAGGCAGTTTTAAGTCTTGGCTCAAGGCATCTCTTGTGAGAAGCCATTTCGGACACCCCAGATTAGGTTGAGTTTCATTTCAATGCCCTCATGCACCACCTCCTTACCCTTAGTAATACCTATTTGGATTATAAAGTTGCTTTTGTGTGATAATTTGTCTCCCTTATCAGACTAAGTTTCATAAGAAAACACAGCTTTCTTTTTATTTCCTACTGGATCCCTATCATCTATGAAGTATCTGGCACATAGTAAGAGTTTAATACTCCTTTAAAAAAAATCAATCCTGTTGTGTCCCTGTTACTAGTGTCTAACTGGGTACCTGGTACACAATAGATGAATACCTTTGCTAAACGAGCCATAGTATGAAAGATGTTTGACTACTCGTTTACAATAAATATAATGCAGAAGAGCCATCATTTGATTATCTGTGATTAGGCATTTATACATAATTGATACCTACACCAAATCCCAAATTCCCTCATCAACTTTTCCTCACCACTAAGACTGAAGAAAGTAAGTTACACTTCTTTTCTTTCCTTTGTTTACTCTCTAGTGGAGTAAAGGGTGAGCTGTCTGGCTAGGAAAATCCACATAGAGCCAGAATTAGCCTTAAGTGAGATTTGGCTTCTGAGCCAATAGACCGTGGCATTCTCACTTGGATAGTCAGATATTTAGAAACTTTTTAATTTTTATTTTATTTTTTAAAGATTTTATTTGAGAGAGAGAAAGAGACAGAACACAAGCAGGTGGGGGGGGGGCAGAGGGAGAATGAGAAGAAGACTCCCCACTGAGCAGGGAGCCCAACACAGGACTCAATCCCGGGATTTCAGGATCATGACCTGAGCCAAAGGCAGACACTTAACTGAGCCACCCAGGTGCCCCGAAACTTTTTTATTTTTAAAGATTGTACTTATTTATTTATTTATTTAGAGAGAATGAGCAGGGTAAGAGGCAGAGGGAGAAGCCGACTCTCCACTGAGAGGAGAGCCTGACACAGGGCTTGGGTCTCCATCCCATGACCCCAGGACCATGACCTGAGCCGAAGGCAGATGCTTAACTGACTGAGCCACCCAAGTGCCCCTAGAAACATTTTTTCCCCAAATGAAAAGCTTTGCATTATTTTTATTTTTTTGAAGATTTTATTTATTTTTTTATTTACAGAGAGCTGGGGGGGGGGCAGAGGGAGAGAGAGAATTCTAAGCAGACTCTGTGCTGAGCTTAACGTGAGGCTCAATCCCATGACCCTGCAATCATGACCAGAGCTGAAATTGAGTCAGACACCCAACTGAGCCACCCAGGTGCCTCTATTTTTCTTTTAATTTTAACAGCAATCTCTTTGAAAACATTTCAGTAGTCAGAGGATATATAAAAACATACACATCACAGGTTATATACATTTACAGGTTTATTAGGGTAGAATGACATGGAACAGTATAAGCAGAAAAAAAGCAGAAATCTTACAAATGACTTCTTTTTACGTGCGCTGAAACAGAAGTTTTTAGTAAACTTGTAATTCCATGAGCACTGTGGCAAGCTTATTGACTTTGTCATTTATTAATTTAGGAAAGGGAGAAGAGCCAAATCAAGTACAATAAAGATGAATTTACAAAATGGTATAAGATGGTAATTTTTGGATATAATGAAACATAAAAAGAAACTAAAAACCTAAAGAAGATAGCAAGATGTTAATTTTCTAGTTTTAATAATGTATTATGGGTATACAAGGTGCTACCAGTGGGGGAACCTGGGTAAAGGGTACATAGAACCTTTCTGCATTATTTTTGCAACTTCTTGTGAGTCTATAATTATTTCCAAATAAGTGAAATAAATAAATTAATAAAAAAAAGACAGGAGGAAAAATAGTAAAGGGAGATAAGGTATTTTTAGAAAGAGAATTTAAATATACATAGTTGAAGACTTGCTTTGCCAAATTTCCATAGGTTTGTGAGGAGTTAACCAAAATTTTAAAAAATGTGTCCAAGACAGACAGACAGGCACACACTTTACTAATAAAAATATTAGGCTCTGAAAACTGGCATCCTATTTTTAATGTTCGAACTAATGATATTTTCCAGAGACATGTAGAGAGTGAAACATAGTACCATTTCCAAAAAACAACTTAATTTTGCAAAAACCACAAAAATGAGTGTTTGCTCTTGAGAAAGGAAAACTTGTATTTCTTGACATCATCAAAGAAAAACGTGGAAGATCTGATATGAAAGGAACAAAAATGTACAAATCCTACCACTTCATTCCTCAAAACTGTATAAACATTTGCAAGATTTTCCTTCATCCATTAAATGTCCCTAGAGCAGCCAGCCTACACAGACCTGGGGGCATTCACATGTCACGATATTCCATAAAAATCTGGGAACACATATTTTTGGCAGAAAGAAATTACTTGATGTGCAAGGAAAGACTGCTTGTGAAAGAATTCAGAGGGACACATTTAGGCAGGACCCCCTTGCAATGATAAAACGTTAGTGTCATAATTTACCACATTCCTGGGAGCATTCAAAGGACACACGGCATTATGAACTTTTATGAGTAGCTTTTTCAGTGCCAAATAGATGGCAAATATCCTACAGAGGGAGAACTGAAAACCCAGAGAAGCTCCCAAATTGCCTCATCTCACTGTACCTTAAAGCTTATTAAAGTAACATAGAAATCTGCTTGGCTGAACACTTATATTTCCTTCTTAAATATTAGAGCTTAGCAACTCTGTACAAAGTAAAAGGGGAATTAGGGCTAGAAGACCTGAGTTCAAATTCTGACTCTTCCAGCTACTAGTTTTGTTACCTTAGGCTAGTCACAGTCTCTGAATCTCAATGTCTTTGCTCCTAAAATGGGTATAATAATCACCATATCTCAAGGTTGGTCCTAGTACTGAAAGGGATAATATATTTAATTGCCTAGCACAATGCTGTGCAAACAGTAGGTAGCAGTAAGTGTGAGGTCCTTCCCAATTTTCCCAGAAGACACAACAAAATATTTCTTTCCCTGTTAGTGTGGTATGTGTCAAAACAAATGGCTCAGGGGTAAATAAAAAGGGCAAGAGAATCTAATCCTACTATTATCCAAACAATTGTTCTATTAATTATGCAGTTATATAAACAAATATTTAATAAACATTATTGGATTTATTGGTATTATTCAGGTAATGCATTAGTACCTGAATAGGTCCTCTCTTTTGCAAGTTGGCTTTTTATTTTGACTTTAACTGATTTAGCAAAATAGGCCATCATTCTTTTATTCAGATCATAACAGAGTATATAACCTTTTGGGAAGATTAAAGCACCTCTTTTTTTTTTTTAAAGATTTTATTTATTTATTTGAGAGACAGCGAGAATGAGAGAGAGAGCACAAACGGGATGGAGGGGGAGAGGGAGAGGGAGGGGGAGGAAGAGACTCCCCGCTGAGCAGGGAGCCTGACGGGGGTTGATGCCCAGGAGCCTGGGATCATGACCTGACCGGAAGGCAAACACTTAACCAACTGGGCCACCCAGGTGCCCCAAACTCCTCTTGATCCCAGGTAAAAATAATAATTTTAATGTTTACTCATGGGTCTGAGAAAAAGTGACATGGAAAAAGAAATGGTAAAAGGTTAAAGAATTTATCTTTCAAGGCTGATGGTGTAATTCTCCCCCGGAAGCGCCTGTTGACGTTGGTCTCTCTGTCTGGAGACCAACGTTCCCTAACTCATGCCTTGAACCTCCGCTAAAAGAGCCATATTCCCGGGCTCCATCAACTCGAAAGGGTGAGCAACCTTGTGAAATTGCAAGGGTGGACAGCACACAGACAGACCTTAGAAGGCTTTAGAGACAGGTTCTTCACATGGAATCCGTGGGCTTACTCAAGCAGGTTCTGGAACCTGTAGTCTCTGTCTATAAGATTGTGGCTAAGTGTATTTCGTGCCTTTTCCCCAGGAAGCTGCTCAACTATCACTTCCCTCCTCTAGGTTGGTTCTCTAGCCATCCTATCTTGAAAAAGGGGTCTCGCCCACACAATCTCTCACATCATTCTTATGTATTTCCTGTACAGTCTTACCACAATCTGTCATTACCTTGTCTGTCTGCTTAAATCCCTCTACCCCACTAGAAGGTATGCTTCCCAAAGAGCTGGGCCCTGGCCTTTCTCCAGCGCCTTGAACCTGCTGAGTCTCGAGAGACACTTCTGGAATGAATGACACCTCCGTGTCTAGCAGATATTTAATGGCCTCTACATCCTTCCATCCACCCCACCCCCCAACCCCGCCGCATTTTTCTCCGGAAATCATTTTAAAATCACGCGTTTTCATTTTGGAAATAAGGCTTTTCGCGTTGCCATTACACCCACTCGCTCTCGCACACTCGTTCTCTACAGTCGGAACCGCCGCCCCGGCCCACTTACCCAAGCCCACCAGGCCGGACAGTTTAGGGGCGACCAGGGCAGGTGCAGCCGCGAGCGGGCGCCCGCCTCATTTCACCTTCCGGGCTCCCGGTCCTCCGCCCACCGGGGTCGCACCCAGCCACCCTCCCTCCAGCGCGGCGCCGGCAGCTCGTAGTGGTGGCGCACTGCGGCGGAAGCACCGCTCCCGGAACGGCGCGCAGCTGGCTGCGGGAGAGCCAGTCGTGCTCCGCCAGGCCGGGATCCTGCCCGTCCCGCAGCGCGCGCCGCCGCAGCCGCAACTGCTTCCGGGTGAGCGGGTCACCGACCCTGTGGCCCCGCCCCTCCTTCGCCTCCGTCGCCAGCCGCTCGGGCTGCGGCTCCTCCCGGGGGCCGGTTCCGCTGTCTCTGCCTCAGCCACCGCGCCGCGGGGCCACCGGCGTGACTGACTGACCGGCCTCGGGTGCCGGGAGCCGCCGCGTCCAGCCCGGCCTCCCTGGCCGGGAGCCTGGGACCCAGTTCGCCGTCCGCGCCCCTCGCCCTCCGCTCCTCGCTTTTCGCCCGGCCGGCTCCCGGCGGCCGACCCGCGCCCCGGCCCTTCCCGGGCGGCGCCACAGCCACAGCCCGCGCCCAGGGACAGGTAAGGGCCGTCCCTCCCGCCGTCCCGGGACCCCCTTCCCGGCCTCTACAGCCCGTGCGACCGGCGCCGCCGCTGACCCCTGGTGGGGGACGGGCTTCCCTGCGGGCTCTCGGGTCGGGGTCGCCCCCCGCCTACTGCGTTCGCCGGCAGCACGCCTGATTTCTAACGCGCACCCTCCGTCTGTGCCAGGGGAAGGGGTTACTCCCATTGTGGGAGAAATTACATTGGGCCGCTGTCCCTGTGCCTCGGTGCTCGAGGCTCCTTCTCTCCCCCGGCGCGGCACTCCCTCGCTTCTGTCCCTGGACCGGCACCCCAGCGAACGGTGTCAGGCCGGTGGAGGGCGTAGCATTTTTATGGGATTTTTTTTCTTCCTTGACCCGAACTGAAGCGCGGGCATAACAGGCGCTTGCTAGGAGTGTCGGGGTTAATGCTTGACTAATATGGGTGTTATTCACACCCAGATTGTTAAATTATACAGCTCCAGTCAGGCCTGCTTCTCTTGCCTGTGGATATCCAGCAGGAAGCAGGCGGACATAAGGGAACGCACCTCTTTTCCTTTCTTAGAGGGAAAAAGTTCAAGTGTTTGCTCTACTTTTCCACCGTGGGAGATACAAATATTAGGCTGCTGAGACACGGCTAGGGAAATATTGTATCCTAAACTTTAATTGTTTGTAGCTCATTTTCTTTGAGTTTCCATTTAATGACTCAGCACTTCTCCGGTAAACAGAAAAACTGTAGAGTAGGTTAATTGACTAGGAGATAATGTGTAAGAATAACTAAGTAGCCACTAATTTTTTATGTTATCACAATGGGAAGAGAACGTGGATGCAATGAATGGAACCAGAGAGATGGTGAACAGGTACGGGTGGGCGAGTTCATAATATAAAATAACATTTTTTTCAAGATAACATTTTATATGGGGATGAATCTATATATAAAGGTGCAATTGTTGGAGAATGTAGTGTTGCAGATAAGAGTTAGTTGGCAGAGACTTGAAGTTTGCTGTGGTTTGGAAGTCTTGCAGTATTAACCCTTTTTAACCAACATCATGCTCTCTTTAACAAATATAGAGATGATGACCTAGTATTCATGTTAGAGTAAGAATTTTAGAAAGCGTGATTCATTTAGAAAGCTAGGTCACTCTGTGAATCATTGATATGGATCTTAAAATTGGAATAGAGGAAAGCTAGAAGTTTGTTATTGCCTGTTTAGATGCCTTCAGTCATTTTATATGAAGTGTTGTATTATGCTTTGTTAGGTTTGTTGCTGCATACTTATTGTCATGAAGTGTGGTAAGGACATAAAAATTGAACTTTTGCAGAGTGTTTGGCTTTAGAATAGTTAGTTCCTAAGTGAATTGTTGTTATTTTACCCTCCCCCACTCCCCCTATTTTTTTTTTTTTTTTTGCCAGATGTGGGAAGATAAGTGAAGGGGTCTAGAAACAAAATAAATGAGAAAAGGTATAAAAAAGTTTACTGAAAGAATCTACAGTATACAAAATAGTCTTTTCAGTGAAAGGCCTCACCTATTTTGTGAATCCTTAAAAATGTGGAATGAGACTACACTGAGTTCTTACATAAGTTCTGTTATAGAAGAAAGTGGGTATTGAAGTTGTGATTTATTATTGGAATGAATTCATTGTAAACTAGAAATAACTTTTTATTGCTGAAATGTAATTTGATCACTTTTGGCTTTAAAAATATTGTTAAGCAAAATAACCTCGAATCACAGAGAACTTGATACACTTAGCCTTGTTTTCTTTTACTTCTTTTTGGAATTCAGCTTATTTTACCTTGATTTTCATTTGTAGGGAACTTTAGTTATCAGCTATAAAGTAATGGTAAGTTGGTCTTGCTTACCAGGTTCCTTTAATTATTTGACTAAATTTTATCATCTTATTTTCTTGGATATTCATTCTTATATATAGAGTGTTCCCTAATGTTGCTTTTGATTTTTGTCCAGCTAATAGTGACTTAATTAAGAGTTTCAGTTCCCAGTAAAGAGAGATTCCCTTTTGGAAAATCCCTTGTGGAAAGCACCATAACTAACAGTCTTGATAGGTAGATATGCAAGAGAAGCCTTCCAGCCTTAAATGTCATGATTTAAGCATCTCCGTAATGAAGGAAAAAAAGTGATAGGAGGGTATATTTGGCAAGTAGATTCTTTTTCTCTAAAAACAAAACCAAAAACATATTTGTACTAGAAATGAGAGCTGTGTCTTGCTAAGCTTTTTGTGAATTGTTTTACGGTGCTCCTAGTGTGAAAAGGAACAGAATTGATGATGTATAGAAAAAAAAAATTCTGGCAGCGTGCTGGGAATGTTGATGAGGATCATTTAAGAGGAGATACAATTCTGTCTTTACCATAGGAGCACTATCCATTGAACCTATAAAATAGAGGCCGTTTCATAGCCTTTTCCTTTTAGGTAGTTACTTTCTTTCTGGAGACTTTGAATGGTGAGATGGACCTTTAACCAGGAAAATGTACTACCTTATCCGGTTTGCAATAGACTTAATAGACTTTATGATCATTATTCAAAACTCAACTTTTTAAAACTTCAGAGGGAAGGGATTGAGCAGAATTTGCCCAGTGAGTAGAATAATTTTACCTTTTTCTCCATTTCTCCTTTTAAGATACTAGATAGACACCTTTGGAAATAATTTTTTTGTGTTGCACATTGCACTTCACTTTTAAAACTTTTTGCCCTACAAGAAATTAGGCCAGACTTAAAAGGAATCAAACATGGGGCTAAAAACAGGGTTTAGTATAAGTTATACTTTTTCGTTTATTCTATTATTTCTTTATTCTGGTGGGGGGATGGAAAAAGGATTCTGTTTCTTGGGGGGAACTCTGAGATTTGCTAAATGTGTATGCTTTTGTTTTGGTTTAGTGGTCGGGAGAGCAGTAGGTAAGAGTAAAAATGGTTGAGAAGACAGAGGACATGGCATACATACATGGAAAGAGAATGCCCACTTCATGGGTACAGTAGATGTTTGTAGGATTTTTAAAAATTGATAAAACATTTGAAAAGAAAATGTTATGTGGTGCAAAGGCACAACAAACTTCTAGCCTTTTCTCACTCCCCCACCCCCAATCCAGGCAACTACTGTGAATAGTTTCCTGTATATTCTTCTCCAAATTTTCTGTTACATATGTAATCACCTATGTTTAGGAGAACTTTCTTCTATCTTTCATTCTTACCCTTGATATAATCTTAGAGACTTTTCTGTATTAGTACATGTGTCCATCTGATTTTTAAAAAAGACTGGATGTCTTGCCTAGTGTAGATGAACCACAGTTTATTCATTTTCCATGATTTGTTTTACCATTCCCTATTAACAGACATTTAGGTTGTTTTTAGCTTTCTATAAATGTTGCTATAGTGAACAACTAGTATATAAATGTTTGCACTAGTCCATAAGTATGTATATGGAATATATTTCTGAAAGAGTGATTGCAAAGTTGGACCTTAAATTGTGAAGATTTATAAATTTGTTTCAATTTTATGTTGGATTTTATTTTATAACAGAAGTTAACTTCTTTCTCAGCCTTGTAGGAGAAAGGAACTCTTACTTTGTATTCTGTCCTCTCCATTTTAAAAAATATTAAAATGTATTTTATAAGGCAATCTTAATTTAAACATTTAGAGTGACTGGTGGTTAATTTTGTTTGTACTTTGGTAAGGGTGAAAATACTGTGGCTTGAAGACTGGTGTTATAGACAAACCACTTCACTTATATATTGGGTAATAGTTAAATGAATACCTTTTGTAGTTGGTTGATTGTTTTAGGATTTTATGACCAATATCAATTAAAAATATTGTGTATAGTTTAACTTCTTGCCCTGATGAAGTCTGCTACTATATTATTAGTCACAAAAAATAAATAGTCCACCTTCTGTCTTTCTTTACCTTCCACATCCTAGTCTATTCATAATAAAATAAACCTCTGTAGAGTTTGAGATTCCAAAATCCTTTTGCAAACCAGAGTGCTATGGATGGATTAATATCCCAAGGCAGGGGGTAGGTACAGCTTCAGTTTTTATTCTGCAAAGTGTTTGTGAGCAAATTAAAAGTTTAAAAGTTTAATTTCTGTATTATACAGCTCACTCATGACCAGGAGGAGGGGGGTTCAGGAACTTTTGCCCTTTGAAAATGAGAGATTCTAGGGGAGAAAAAATAAAGTACTGATGTATGATGATGAAGTTGGAACTTGTGAGTGGCAATGTCTCTGGCTTGTGCCCAGCTTCTATTTTGAGGCCTTGTCAGAGATCGTCCGACAGAACCTACCACATAACTGTAATCTGTCCTGGCCCGGCTGCCAGTCAGGAAGGCCTGCGGTTCAGGAAAAGCGGCAGCCACAGAAAAGTGAGCTTATAAAGGACATTTGCCTCCAGAAGATTAAAGCTAAGTTTTGGGGTGAAAATCTGCTTAGCGTGCATATCCTAGGATCATTTTTTTTTCTTTTTGTCTTTCTTTTTTGAGAAAAGAGCGTGATTAAGGAAAACTAATGAGAAAAGTATTTCAGAGGAATGTGCAGAAGGAGGAGCACAGGATTGTACCATGATGTTATGGTCTGGGTCTAAGAGTGATCAGTCAAATGTTTTACAACAGAAGAAAACCATTACTGATACTGGCATAGGGAGGCCATGGCCCTAGTTGAACTAGTCCACTTCAGAGACTTGCACACATATCTTTGGATCAAAAGGACACTGGGAATGATGGGCTGTTTTATAGGATTATTTTGAGTTCGTACAGAGAAATTAGCTTCTTCCCAAATTCTCGTGCTCTTCTTCCCATGGAACTGCTACAATCTCATGTACATTATCATGAAGTTATCTCTTTAAAAATAACTCGAGGCTGTTACCAGATGCTATCTCCCAGCACAGCTGCCTCTGTGTATCATGTGCTTTCTCATGAAAACCTTGGTGTTTTCTATACTTAGTGAATGAGGCCCTTGGGTTTAAAGTTCTTTAACTGATTTCACTACTTAGTCTAGAA